TTAATTGTTTACCTCTTTAATTCTAGAAGTAAGTAAATTTTTGTAATGAAAATAAAAATAAATGATTATTGTTGGAAATAAAATAATCAATCCCCTGATGCTACATATCCCACGGTTTTGTATAAGCTCTTAATTCTATTGATGGGGCTACATTGGCCTGATCCCCATCTCTAATAGCGTATATTGCTACACACAGTGATATGGGTCCGAAGCTGAGTTGCCAGATGAACATGTACCCCGTATCAACACCCGAGGACAGAACACAGAGCGTGATCATCTATGTATCTTTGAATTCTCAGTCAAAGCATAAAATGCTTACTTTATGCCTGCAATGATAAATACATGTGGTCCATACTCGGAAAATGATTAAAGCACAGAGGAGCTGATTTTTAAGGAGCACCCATACCCGGCACTCGATCCGCCGTGTGATATGCTGCTATCATATTGGTACGAGAGATTAGATGTAGTGTAGAAGGACCGTATGGTAGGCCAAGTCGCGTAATAAGACAAAGAAATTAGGTGAAAAGCACTCGAGTGTATCGTAGTGGCTCAAGCCCAAAAATCCAGACCCGATCCAGCTAAGGACACAGAACCCGATATTCGATCATGTGTAGGTAAAAGTCTATAAATACTATTTTATTTCTTTCAGAGAATGAATCCGTTATCTTGTGTTTTAGTCTTATTAGCGTTGTTTAGATTCATTCTCTCTGGATCTCTTCTCAGAATTATCTTCTTCTTCGGTTGTTCCTTAACCGGAACTCCCCAAAATTCCATGTTTTCCCTTTTATTTCACCACCAAATTTGTTTTCTCAAACATTCAAATACTCTGCGGAACATCTTTTGTTTGATCCGGAGTCACTTCTCTCTTTGTTTTCTGACTTCATTTTTCTTAAGTTTCTGCCCGTCTTTCCGTGGTCTCTTATCTTCTCCTTCTTTTGCTTTTTTCAGACTTAGACGTCAGAGAACTACCAAACCGCACTCCTCAATCGTATTTTCCGCAGCCTTCAAAAAAAAATTAAAAACTTAAAAAATAATTTGGTGCTAAAAAGAGTGCGGGATAATAATTTGTGCAGCCACGTGAGAGTTTCAATACTTCAACTAAAAATGCGTATCACATGGGGATGTCGCAGACTCAACTGAAGCTTTAGGGCTGGAAAGTCGACAAATCCCAACTTTCCGAGGCTCATGTCGAATCCACCCACATAAATAGAATCCAAAGTATTATGCAAAATTTTTAGGAATCCACCCACA